AACTATACCAAAAGTGGGCTTCACACGTCATTCATTAATCGATCAACTAACATTGTTGTTACTTTTATCAACTTGCACTGAAAAGTTTAAACCACAAAAAGGTAAGCTATAAACATTGGTGAATTCATGTAGAAATATGTAGTTATAATGTGTTATATAAGTGTACATACTAGGAAATAAGGAAGGACTCGAAAGAAAGTTTTCATAACAACACAGGAACAACTTGGTTTCCACATGATGTCGTATATAGCAACATACTTTCAATGTGAGGATACACAAAAGTAATTTCAACATAGAAAGACATCAATACAATCAACATCATACTCGAGATCATGCAAAGTCAAATACCAATTAACTTCACACACAAACATAATATTTTGCACAAAATATGAACTTCGTCTCCCACATTATGCCAAAAGTCCTATACTTACCCCTGACTCCCATTGGGCAGTGAGTACCAACAATCACTCCAAATGTCTCACCCCGACTCCATGGGATATCGACAATTGGTACCCAAAACATACCATCAGAGATGATGAAATTTCATTTGTTGGTACCTCTTATCGAGGAAGGGACAATGTCTGACACCTTTGTAGGATTTGATGGGTTTTGAGCATAACAAACAAAAAACTTATGTATGCATGCAACCCTAATTCGTGATCTATGTTTTATCTAATTGAACATAAAACCTTTGAACATCAATTGGGAAACCCTAGGAACCCTATACTATTATCGAAAATAACATCTAGGGTTAGAAAACATACCTTTGATTGTTATTGATGAATAACAAGAAATCCTTGTGTTGTTGAAGCTTAGAGAGCAAGCACCACAAATGTCGTGCCTCTAATGGTTCACACCCAACACTAGCAAGAGGATGAGAGAGGAGAGAGGAGAGGAGTACTAGGAATTTCGGCTATTCCTTTAGGGTTTTAAGTGGCCGAAATTCATTAGGTGTAGAGGTCAATTTATAGTGTAGATAGGATGCCCTGGATAACCCTAATCTAAATATTATATTAATATTTCAAGTTGGTAATTATCCAACTCCTTATTTATCCACATGGGATAATCTAGAAACTCTAGATTATCCATATAGATTTCGTCCACCTCCTTCCCTAGTAAGGTTCTGGGACCTCTTGCTCAACTATTGAACAATTTCACTTTAGCCCCTGCACTTTTAATTAATTCTTTTAATCCCAAAATTAATTCTAATTAATTTATTATTAAATATTAATTAAATATTTCTATTTATAATTAATATATTATTCTCATAAATATATTAACAAATTATTTATTTCAATTTATTAATCAAATAATAAATTCAACCTCTCTCTCTCTCCAAAAGTCATTATGTCTAGTTGCTAGTTTTGAGGGCAACCCAAAAGGATTGTGCTACTATCAATTCAAGTATATACCAATTATAGTTATGGGCTTAGACACCTAATCCAACAGGATTTTCATATCTCCATCGTGTGAGCTTTCTATAGGTGATCGTGGGAGGCACACAATCCATGTTGGAATTAGGAGGGCTTTTTTGCTCCACGTTATCAGGGCTCGACTTTACCTGTAACATCCCAAAAATTTCAAGGTAAAAATTTCATTTTCTTAATTCAACCATAAACACCATTTAGCCTTTTCAATCATTTAAAAGTGTGTTAGAATAAAAACAGTTATCAGAGTACAATCCCAAAATCAACAAGTTGCGGAAACATGGGTGGATGCGTTGCGATCAATTCGGGTCATTCCCTTTTGAACCAGAAGTACCTAAAACCATAACCATAAAAATCGTAAGCACAAATCTTAGTGAGTTCCCCAAAATACCACATACCACACACAAAATAATGAATGTTATGGGTCGAATCATAGTCTTACAGTCACTTTCTGACATGGGCAGATCATGTTCTTTCGTTACAATGCCGAGGTCCAAATCCCGATCTTACATACAAGTGCCAAGGGCCAAATCCTGGTCTTTCATACAATTGTCAGGGGTCAGATCTTGGTCTTTCATACAGTTGTCAAGGGCCAGATCCTGGTCTTTCATGCAAGTATCACAGAGATAACTAGCATTCTACATAACAAAGTATTGGGTTAGAATTGGTGCCTTCGGCCCATGGATCTGGTGAGGAAACTCACCTGAAACACAAAGTTGACATCAACTAACTATTCTCTTACCAAAAGACGAGTGCTCGATACCTCCTATCAATCCACACAGGTAGACTTGGTAAGGCATGTGGAAGATATGGTGGATAACCTATTGACCCATGTTCAAATCCTGGCACCACTCGGCCCTTGTGGCCATGGATGTTCACCTGTAGTGACTCCAGGGCATGAGGCAAAGCCTCATGTTTGCAGCGGGGGATTAGTCGGTGCGTGAAAGCTAGCCCGGAAACCCTCGTTAGGGAAGGTCCTTTCCAAAAAAAATAGAATTTTGACCAAAAGTCAAACCAAGCCAAAAGTCAAGGGTTAAAGTCAAAGTCAACATCCCATAATGTCAACTGACCTTCCTCACGTCGTGACCCGTCCGTGGTCACGTCGTGAGAGCTCACTCGGTCTGATTCCAACTCATCCCGACTCACCTTGGCCAACTCAGTCAAGGAAGGTCAACTTAGTTGTCCTCACGACGTGAGCAGCCTTTCCTCACGTCGTGAGCTCCAAGAACATACTAGAATGGGACACAACTTAGATTTAGCCTTATATAACCATAAAAATTAGATCTAGCCTTATATAACCATAAAGATGTAGCCTTATATAACCATAAATCTAGCCTTATAATGGTCTATCAAACTTTATCAATCAAGAAGAAAAGTGGGACAAAACTTAGATCTAGCCTTATATAATCATAAAGATAGGAGCTTTAACACTTACAATGGTCCAGAAACAATGTAAGGTGATGATGATGATGATGATGATTCCTTGTAAGCCTCAACACAAGACCACCTTCTTCTTCTTTTCTCCTTCTTCCAAACCAAGAAAAGCTCCCAAAATGACCAAAGATCAAGCAAGGATGAATACTAGGGTTTTTCTTAGATGAAAGAGGGGTTGGGGCTGATAAGAAACCCTAAAATGAGGTTAGAGATACTTAAATACGAAGGAAACTCTAAAAGATCATGGGCTTGGGTTGCAGCAGTTCTCACGTCGTGAGCACTCTATGTCTCACGTTCAGTCCCACACAACGATTCATCTTAGCCCACCTCACGTCATGAGCCTCTTAATTATATATTATATATATATATATATATTATATATATATATATATATATATAGATATATATATATATGATCGAGAGAGAGAGAGAGAGAGAAAGGTAGGTTCAAATGTTTCTCACATCTATTGTGTGCTAGAATGCATCAATATGAATTTAATAAACTTTAAATGTATATTAAATGATATCTATACTTATAATTCTTTTTTATGAAAACTAATTAAATTCGTCATTAATGTCAATAATAATATTCTTTCAGAATAATTAGAGTGTACTCTAGCAGAACGAGAGTATATTCTACTAGAATACACCCTCATTCTTCATATTCCATACAACTTTATTGTATTTTAAGTGAGTGAGTCCTGAAAGAATGTAATTATTGACATAAAAACCTAGATACGAATTCATTCTGAAAGAATGTTATTGTTGACATTAATGACGAATTTAATTAATTTCCATAAAAAGAAAATTATAATTATGGATATCATTTAATATACATACAATTATGGAAATCATTTAATATCTATCTTTATTTAATTAAATAATAATTTAATTTTACTAAATTCCTATTGGTGCATTCTAGCACACAATAAATATAAGAAACACATTAACTTAGCCATATATATATATATATATATATATATATATATATATATATATATATATATATATAACAAATGAGAGGATAGAAAATGGAATTCCTAAGAGTGGTTTAAGTTATACAACTAAATTTAGTAAAAAAATGCGACGCCAATAAGTATGATAAACATATAACACGTAAGTGTTGACGATCATGTTTTATTGTTCTTCATTTGAGGTTTATATTCATTTGTGATTGTTTATGTTCATTTTTTTCTTATATGTATGTTTACGTTCATATATATATTCATTAGTGTTTGTTTATTTTTGTTCTTTTATGCTCGTTTAAAAATTTAATGAAGATGAAGAAGGTTATTTACTAAACCAACAAACATGAACAATAAATTTTGTTCAATCCATTCTTTTTCGCACATTTATTATGGTTTTCATGGGTTGTGGTGGTTTGCGATTTTTGCTTTGCTTTTGTATTTACCTTGATGATGGTTTGTGATTTTTGTATTGCTTTCGTATTTACCTTGATGATGTATGATGGTGATGGATAACTGATTCTTCAGTAGTTGATATTGACAATGCTAGTGTTCACAGGTTCATCATCTTCATAGAACTTCATTATTTTTGCCTTCGCCATATCAAAACGTTAACTTCACCCTTCCACTAAGAAACTCTACAGAATCAATAAATATTAAGAAACTATTATCTCATGTACGCGGATGATGTCACGTTTATTGGTGATTGGTCTGCACGAATTTCATTAATCTCAAGAGAACTCTAAGATGTTTTCACCTAGCCTCCGGTTTTGAAGGTAAACTTTACTAAATGAAAAGTCTTTGGGATTGGAATTAAGAATTTGGCATTGGCTTGCATGGCAAAAATTTTAAATTGTGAGTTTGGTGCAACTCTTTTTACTTAACTTTATGTTCCTATAGTGCCAAAACTTTGTAGACATTGAACTCCAATTGTTGATCACTTTTAAATCCAAATTGGGTAATTGGAAATCCAAAAATATTTCATTTGAGGGAAGATTAACATTAGTGAAGTCTGTTCTTGGAAGGCTTCCGCTCTATACTTTTTCATATTCAAAGCACCAAAAAAAAAAGTTAAAGGCACATTAGAAACTGTTAGGCGGAATTTATGGGGTTTGAGGGACATGGGACAAAAGGAAGATTAATTGGGTAGCATAGCAAAAGATGTTTGGTGATAGGTGGTCTCAAGATTGGGTAATTACAGAATTTGAACCTTGCCTTCTTTTGTTATTAAAATAATTACACATTTCGACATTAACCCATTACCTAACATATTCATCTATTACCAACGTTACATATTTTACAATAATGTTAACCATATTCAACATCAAGTTCAAACCCTTTTCAACATCTCCAAGATGGCTTCTGTATTTCTCAAATCTTGGCTCTCTTCTTGTGACTCCTCTTCCATCCCTTGAGAAAAGTCAACACTCGTGTAAGTCCGGACCCCGGGCCCACGTCCTTCACAGTCTCTTGACCTCCCTTGTTGGGCCCGCCTCACTTCCTTTTGATGTTCGGTTAACTCCAACTTTTTCCTCTTAAACCCCAACCCTTTCCCATGGTCCTCCATTAGCTCTACTCTTTTCACACACCGGTTGAATGCTGTGGTGACCTTGTGTTTCTGTGGAGGGGTAATTTCGGAATTTGTTCTCGAGTGACTCTTTTTGTTTAGGCTTATTTTTCCATTTCTGAAGAGTTTGTCTAAAACGGGAAGCAAGTTTTGAGGGTAGTCAAGCTTGATTTGTGCACCGAATGTTGAATTCCAAAAGGTGATTGTTGGATTAGAGATTAAAGGATTTGAATGATCCAAAGTTGCTTGGATTAGGGTTGATTGGAGTTTCAAAAAGGTTGAATTGAAGTCTATTGATGGTGAATGGGTTTGTAGAAATTTAAGAATGGTGATCCATAATTGTTGGAGTTGATAAATTGTGTTTTCGTGATCTGATAGCCATTGAAGCAATGGAATTGATATAATCTGGATAAAAGAAAGTAAAATCAACGTAAAGAGTATGATAATCTTCGTGAAATTTGGAATTACGTGTAAAAAAAATATAAAAACTTCAATTATTGTAGTGAATTTTGTGAAAAAGGTTTAAAAAGTGAGGAATTATCGGGAGAAGAGATAAACGAACCTCAATAAAGATAATGATATTGATAATCTCATCAAAGGTAAAAGATTCCAAGAAGCGTATTAATGAGGAGAAAACCCTGAAATTATTTTCGTCATATAAAAACCACAAATTAAAATTGTTAAACAAACACAAAGACATGACCAAAAATACAAACTCACCTTGAGATCGTATCAAGAATCTTCGGATTTGCTTTCGCCTCCACATATGACACACTTAGAAACCTACAAAAAGTACAAATTAAAACGTTCAATTTGACATATATTTAAAAAAAATTCTTTAATTATTAGTCAAATATCCAAAAATGCTGACCTGGCAACACAATGGAGGCTGGTTTTGATGCACCGGATACGTTTATCACCACCAACATCGTTATTCTTCCCACACGGATGTGATGATTTAGTAACATCTTCAAGAACACATGTTATCACATCTCCACACAATGAAAGAAATTCATAACTCTTTTGATCAACTTTAGAATATTCTTCAAGAAACCGATCAAAAACCGGGAACAAACTTTCACAACACTCACAAGACTTGTAAATCGCAATCCATAATTCAACAATTTCTTCAACATCAACCTTATTTTGTGATATTTGAAATACACAAAAAGGGTAAGCCAAAAAACGAGAGATTACCAAACACCAAGTGTCATCTACTTCGGATTTTTTCCCATTTAAATAATCCTTCACACAATTTGCAATAATAATCCACAAATTTAAATTGTTCGGTGTCACATATTTCTCCAATGAAAATATCAACGTGTCAATAATATCATAAGCATCATATGACACCAATAACAAACTCACACATCTCAAAAGTTTTCGTGCACCAAAACTGTTATTCTTACAGCAACCCCTGAGCTGGCCCACACTGTCAGTTAAATTCACAGTCTCATGGAAGTAGAGTAGAACAAGATACCCCACGGGTGAAACCGTATTCTTTTCATCAAATTTCATCTTGTAAAGAGGGGATCCCAAGATCAACGGTTGTAATTCCTCGGTAACAATCTCGATAAACTCGAGAAAAGTTTGACCGATTTGACCTTCAGATAATGTCTTTAAGCACGTTATAATTGTCTCAATGCATGACATAATGTCACTAAAAGAAACACCCGTGTTTTCTAGACATAATTGGAGTCCTTTTATGGAAGAACGGAATAGTTTTAAAGCAGAATCATATGCTAACTCCCCATGATTGATGAAGACATGAACCATTTTTATAAAAAAGTCAAACCGATTTAAATTCCATGTCATCCATTTGATCGGGTGATCACCCGGTTGACCCAGTTGACCCGCATGGTTATTAATCAAATCCAAGCAGAAGTTCCATGACCAGATGTTTCGATTATCGGGTCCCACAAGAAAGACTGTTTCAAGCATAGGGTCTAGAACAGTTTTGATAATTGAAGAGTGGTTGATAAAGGTATCGAGTTTGTGGAGTAAATAATTCCATGTATTTAGACAAGATAAGTGAACAGATGAATCACATTTGGTTGACATGATTCCAATTAGAGGTGTCATTATGAGTTTAATGCTTTTGGTTAATCCATTTGCTTCAATAACATCTTCATTTGTTGTGTATTCTTGTGTTGGAAGAATAACTAAAGCATCAATCAAAGCTTCCCAAGCAATCTGCAAAAATTTAAATTTTTAGCTAAATATTTAACATTTACACTTTTGACCCATTACTAATAAGATATACCCGTTTTAAGGTACCTGTGAAGCAATCTTAACTTGTGGATCACTATCAGAAAATGTTTGTTCAGGAATTTTTAGTAGCTGATTGATTAAATGCCTATTTTTAATGGCATAAGGTCCTATTAAGGAAATAAACCATCCCCATGATTGAATTGCTTGAATCTTCATGCCCTTTTTCAACAGCTCTTCCATTGAAGGGAGTAATTTTTTCTTAACATCAACAATAACCACCTGTTTATATCATACAATACACATTTGTTATAAAACCAGAGAACATAAAAACATTTTCAAATCATCTTTATATATACCTTGGAAAGAGATGATGGAGGGGGGCATATTGTAGATTTGATTTTTAGTAAACATCTTTCTGACATATCTTTTTCCCTTTTATCTGAACTAACAAGTCTTCTGTATATTGGAGGAGCCCATAAGTTTGATGTTTCTCTCATCTTTTCATTCAGTTGAGTCACAAGCTTCATCACAGCCTACAATATTAGTGTTGGAGAAAAATTACAAAAAATAGGGCATGAAAAGTTGAAAACTAACATAACAAGATTAACTGAATTGTTCATACCTGCATAGCCTCAAAAGTTGTTGATAAAGATCCAGTAGGATTATCAAGGGCATGAACTATTGCTCTTACTAAAGAGTCGATATGAGAATTTAAAAATGATGGATTGAATTGTTGAACTGATATGCACCATACTCCTAAATTACAAACAGACTGCAATTGAACAATATACTGGATTAGCTTTCTATGGCTATGATGTGGAAAAGGAGGGCATTTGTGTCTTTTGCACAGACGAGAAATCATGCCAAAAGCAGGGCAGATTGTTTTGTATTGTGTAACAAACTGAGCTTAAGTGTCACAAATGATCTCAAGCTAAAAGAAATTTCAACCTTAATGCGTGTTGATAAAATGACTTTCTGCAAAGAACTTAGAACCATATCAGCATCTTCCCCTGTCATACCCACAAAACAAGATGCTCAGTTCAGTGGTTCACATCCATGTGTAGTAATCTCTTGAAACCAATTACAGTTCCTTGTTTTATATGAAATAAAATGTTAAAAATGCGAAATTAAACTAGTAGATAATAACTACTTAACGAGGCTAATTTACTGATCAGTCGACGTACCCAAAATGCCAGTAACAATGGAGGGATGGTAAATCATGAATCCCATACACTTCAAGGCTTGTGCAGCACTGCAATTAGACAAATTCATCCACACACCCACATTAGCAAGTAGCGAATAGCAAGGTAACAATCAATTACGAAAAAGAGCTTACATTTCCTCATCATCGTCTGAAATATCGTTGGCCATCGACGATAGAAGAACGTGAGATGAATCAGTCAGCGATTGAAGGAGGGAAGGATCGGTAGTCGAGTGTTCTTGGAGTTGTAATAACGTCGAGTAAAGGGACGATTTTTCTGATTTTGAGTTGATATTAGCACAACTTGATAAGAGGCTTTTCAACTCATTGAACTGGGTCGTAAAAACCCCCATTGTTTCTTGTTCAAATTTGGAGAAATTTGAGGAGCCGATTGCTTTTGGAGATGAACCCTAGTTTGGAGTGTGTTTTCAGTTCGCAGCAATATTCGCGCCATTAATAAATTTCCATCCTCTTTGAAGGGAGAAAGGTTTTTACTCTTTGGCCCTCAATCTTTCGATAACTTGTCATTTCAATACTAATACTTCTAACATTGCTATTCCCTTCTTCCCAATATAGTTTGATCCACAATTACAATTTTCAATTTGAATAACATTGAAATGCCCAACAAAACTAAACGTTGTGAACTAGTAGTTTTTGGGTAAATATGATGCGGCTCAAAATATCCATATAAGTTGATTTGTTGTTTGAAGTAGAAATGTATAATGGTGGTTCCGGATCAGTCTCGGTCTCGGGTCGGTTTTGAGAACGAACTTGTTTTTTTGGTCGGTCTTGAAACAGTCAGGTATTTTTTTGGACTGTCCTGGATGGTCTTCAGCCGGTCTTTTTTTGGACCGGTCTATTTTGGTCCAGTCTTTTTTGGGACCGATCTTTTTTGGTCCGGTAGTCTTTCCATGCGTCTTTTTCGGTTCGATTTTTTGGGTTTTTTGGGTTCAATTTTGGTATTTTTCGGCTTTTTGGTTTCGGTTTCAAGTTTTTCCATAAACAAATGTGTGATTAAAAACAAGATGATAGATTAAGAATTATTAAAATTGATACACTTGAGTGTAATAAAAGAAAAAAAAAACGGTCTTTTTTTAGACGAGTATCAAGTCGGTCTTAGACCGGTCTTGTGTCGGTCTCGGAACGGTCCAATCTTTTTGGGAATCGATCTCGGAATGGTCCGGTTTTTTTGACCAGTCTCGGGACTGCCTTTTTTCGGTCCGGTCTTTTTAAAGATCGATTTTTTCTGGTCTGGTCTCGTTTTAGAGCGGTTCGTTCTCAGGCTTTTTTTAGGTATGAAACCGGTCTTTTTGTGCATGTCTAGTTTGAAGTGTTAATTGAATTCAAAATAATTGTATTTATGTAAATTTAATATAAAAATAACATATAAAAATACCATCAAGCTCTATTAATAGTTTCAAATAAATTGGTTTACTATGTGTTTTGTTAGAATTTAGGAGGAAGGGTCTTTTTTAAATCAAGAGGATTTTGGATCTGTTTGAACGTGTGTATATTTTTTGAATCTGATATTTCGACCATAAGTCTAGACATCACGAAATTTAGATTATGAGAATAATCCTTGAAGTAAGAACTTTTGATCAAGGAACAGGAACCGATAACAAATCACAAATTAAGGACTTATATAGAATTCAAATTCTTATTTTTTTCTTTTTTGAACGGCAAATAATTATTTTTCTCCTTTGACTGGGATTGAAACCAAGACCTCCTAGTTCGTGGTATTGGAAAGATGGTTCATAGGGATCTATGGTGCGAGTATGTGGGATCTCGGTTCAGGATTTGGTCAAGGAGCTCGTTGTAGCCATTGATTCCTTTTGGGATGACAATGAATAGATGAGAAGGCGCTAGGATCACTCAGGTTGAGTATCGGTTGTTGAGAGATTTGGCAGCTCGTTGTATGGATTGTTAATTATAGTCTAGATTGGACAGTTGTCGATCGGTAAATCAGTTTCAGAAATGGGTATGTTCAGCTCCGTGTGGTTCTGATTCATTGGATTAAGTGTTAATGCATCATCGATCATTGGTCGCATCGTTCGTCGTTCAACGAAGGTTCTCTGAAGGTTTCAAGTTGTGGCAGTTGAAGTTCTATGGATGTGTCAACCTATCATCAAGTTTAGTATGTTTTATATCCCTTTGATCTTGGGGTATGTTTACCCTTAATGGTGGTGTGGAATTTCGGTTCATAGCAGGCTCAGGTTTTGGTAGCATTCAGGATCACCTTGGAAGTTTTCACAAGCTAGTTGCATATTGGTGGAATATGTTTAGTCTCAATCAAGGTTTGGGGTCTTGTTCCGATCATTCATGGGGATGTCTTCTGTTAATGATTGAGGTCTGTCATTTCGTTTGGACTCTGGTATTTCTCCTTATTCGGATGAGGTTATGGGTTCCTTAAGGATGTGCATTGTGGTAAATTCATATTGCCAAGAGGGGTGTATGTTAGCTGGACAAAATAGTACTGGAGCACTTGGTTCGAATCATATGCATGGTTCTTTTGGGGTTATAGCCTTTGAATTGGATCAAAAGTATGACCTTTTATCCAGTTCTCGGGTCGTGTGCGACCATGTTTTCGTAGGGTTCTGCGTTGGTAGCAACTTGTTCTGAGAAAGAAATTGTGCATGGTACGATTATGGCATTGTTGTGCTCGGTTAGCATTGAGAGGGACGTTGATTAGGTCCCTGCAAGACGATGGAATGAGGTGAGTATCTGTAGGCCCCCGTGGTGCTGGTTGTGCGTTTCCAAGCGAATGATGGAATTTCGACAAGTTTGGTGTAATACCAAGAGCATTCCAAACATGGGTTGAGGGTCGGGAAGGGCATTCCATACTCATGTTGTGGGCTCGGAGGCAATCCAAACCTATGCTAAGGACCTAGCAGGGGTATTCTAGACATAGGTTGTGGGCCTAGTGATCATGATTGTTGATTTCTTCTGCTTGTAGTACTTTTGGTGTTGGCGCATTGATGGAAGTCGGGAAACTCGCGAATCAGTTGGTTGGGAATAAGTGAACAATTAAGGATTGTGGGGAGTATCAGTTGCGCATCAAAAAGTCTTTGCGAGATGTTTGCATTAAAAACCCCGTTGTTCGCAAGCTGATAATAGGGGTTTGATTATCAAGGTTGGGCATCGGTTATGAAGTCTCGAATCGTGAAGTTCTTTGTGAATGTCTCGAGTGATTTGCCAGGTGGGGGTATGCCTGAGTTGATAAGGATTGGATGCAAATGTGGAAATTCTTGTATTTCTCTTCCTTGCTCGTGGGAGCAGTGTGGAAATGGCGTATCAGGGAGTCAAAGAGTTTATTAATGGCTTTTGGTACATCTTATGGTTTTGGAATTGGTGGAAATTTGTGATTGATGTGTTGAGTTCTTTCCTGCGTGTTGGTAGTAATCAATGAATAGATGAATGTCAGTCCTGGATATGAGTTCTGAAATTTAGATCTGATGGGTTCCCGATCTCGGGAAGCATATTGATAGAATTAATTCGGTGTTTGTAGCCATGGGAGTCCCCGACTTTGTGGAACTCTCTAGACTTTCGGTCTTAGATAGGGAAGTGTGGAATATGCTAGCGTTGTTGTGCCTCTCTGCAATGGTTATCTAGCTGAGGCTCCTAGTTTGTTCCGCCTTGTGTTCGGATGAAGGGTCCGACATCAAATTACGGTCAAGAGTCCCGATTTCCCCCAGTGGAATCAGCAAGGTTAGTCAGGATCGGAAGGGTTCCGTATTGTACGGATGGTAAAGATATCGTAATAACTACGTTCTAAGATGGTTTTGATTGCTTAAGAGTCAGTTGAAGTATTAGATTTCCGGATTTTAGGAGGGTTGTGATGGTTTCTCTAGTGCTGAAAGTTAGCAAGTCAAGAATGGTATGAGTAGTCAGCAGCCTGAATGAGTCTATTTTTAGTTCGGATTGGGTTCTGAGGAGAACCGCCTGAGTGACTCGAGGTGGAAATATGGAAGAACTACCCTAGGATTAGTTACTGCAGCAGACTTCGAGGATGAAGTCTAAGTCAAGTGGGGGAGAATTGTAACATTTCGATAATGAGATACTTCTAATATTAACCATATAATTTATTTATGTTGCATTTTGGTCCCTAAGTTCGAGATTGTATGCAAAAAGGGAGCTAGTGGCATTTTCGTAAATTTTTCCTTGGGGGAGTACACCATGGGTATGTGTGTACGTTGAGCGTACTAAGGCACACCCTAGTACGATGGGCGTACATTAGTGTACGTGAGGCGTACTTTCCACATATGGAAACCTATTTTTTTAGGGTTTGGCTTGTATTTAAACACTCTTATGGCCTCATTTCCTTCACCTCATCTACCTCCATCCCTCTTATACGTTCTTGCAACCCTAGTTTCACCTTGATGAGTCTTTTCAAGCTTAGAGTGTGTATTTTGGTGCCTTAAAGAAGAAGGGAAGCCAAGCTCATCTTGAAGGATTGAAGCACTTGGATCTGGGATTTCTACATCAATGGAAACTTAGTAAGGTATAAAGCTCGAAACTTTATCCCTCTATCATTTAGATCTAGATTTGGTTGTCTTAAGGATGCTTTTTGGTCCCAAAATTTTAGATCTTGAGCATGTCATATTCTTGATTCATTAAGTCTCACTTCCATACGATAATAGTGTTTTTGAGCCACAAAAATGGAGTCCCAATGGTTAATTCTATCCCATGCATGTTGTAGAGTGTCTTAAGGCATTAAGATGATGGATTTTTAAGGATTAAGCACTTATTGAGCATGCTAAATCATAAAGTTGGAAACTTTATGACTCCTAGCGACATTTTGACCTTGGATCTGCTTTTGGACGTGTCAAGACATTGTATTAAGCTCTTAATGTAACGTCCGGTTCCTGATACGTATTTAAATAAGAAATTATTCATATTTGCTAAGGGACTCGACGAGTTGGAGGCCCCAAACTCATCGAGTAGGAATTGGATATGTTGGACGCGGGACTTGAAGTCTACTCGATGAGTCGAGGAGCCTCGACTCGACGAGTAGGTCTGCCAGAGTGAAACCCTAATTTTCAGGGTTTGCACCCTATTTAAACACCTTAACACCCCCACTATGGCCTCCCTTAGTCCAGAAAACCCTAATTCGAAACCCTAACCCATTTTGAGTGTTCTTGAGCCATTTTTGTGTGTTCTTGGTGGTTTTGAAGCTTGAGAAGGAAGAAGAAGCTTGGGAGTTCAAGAGGAAGCAAGTAGATCCAAAGGTTGTGTTCCGTTTCCAGCTCATTTGAGGTATAAAGTTTATACCTTGTCCATTCATCTAGTAGATCTCTTTTTGGGGTAGTTTAGGGCTTTAAGGAGCCATTTTTGGAACCATTCATGGATGCAAGCA